CAATTTTTGCATGAATAGAACTATTACATGTTTTGTAATCACAGCTCCTTATCTTGATAATAATAAATATGGGATTTAATTCCATATTAAAGATGCATTGTGTAAGATTTAGATAAAGAGTTGGGCATTTTTGCTATATTAGTTCAAAAATAGATAATGTAAAATGAATATTACTTTATTCTGAGCGAAGTTATGAGTGTTTGAAGTTTTGACAAGATGGTCTCGATTGTCAAGTACCATTCCTATGATAATAGACAGTCTTGGTTATCCAATTATTGAATAGCAAGGATGTTTTCATCCATTCAATCTCCCGACCATCAGAGTTTATTATTGGTTTATCATGTAAATAAATGCTTAAATAATAACTTATATAACATTTAAAGCAAGACAAAAGACCTGCAACAGGCAGATTAAGCTCTTGCAACTGCATCTTTACACATGATGTTTTTTAGGTATGTAATTGTATCAGCAAATAAAAAGAACAGAAACAAAGAGTTTGAAAGTTTGGCCAAGAAAGGTACAGGTGGCACAAGTAAGTTATTTTCTTTGTTTCTGTTAAAGGCCAAGTCCCAGATAGAGAATACTAGTATTCAATAAAACATACTAAAAAAATAGTAAAATAAGAAGATTTTTAAGAAGGCTCAAGTAGTATGAAATTGTTATAGATTGTATTTTTAACACCCTAGAGTAATTACTTTGTGAAATATTTATATTTAGTTAAAATTTTTTCCAGGCTTGCTTCCGTTTTTAAAAGATCTCAGAAAAGATACCAAAGATGCTGTGCTTTAGAAACAGTGGTGGAGCTGTCTATACAACCTAGCGGTCAAGGCCGTACCAATATTTTAATTTTATATGTTATGGCGGGCCATACTAGTATTGGCCACATAACATAAACAGAAGAAAATTCAATTAAGTCATTTAAATGATTGGTAAACTTTATAATAAATTACATCATATGAGCTATGTGATTTAGCTCCTGGCTGTATAAACTAATCAATTTTATAATAAACTACATTTTTGGTAATTTTTCAAACTATTTGAGTTGTCTGTGAAAAGCATAATTTCAACATGTGAATTCAATAGCTCTGATACAGCTTTAGCCTTCGTGACGGGGATAATAAATCTATACAAAATGTATGTTCAGAACTGACTTTCAATATAACTAGCATGTTACTTGCGGAATAAATCTGTGAGTCAATGGCTAAGGATGTACAAGGTCAATAATTCTGGACAAGACAATAACAATTTGGTCATGCTTTGCATGGATTGTCAACCACTATGTTTTGCAGAGTTATTGCCCCTATCATTGAAACCAAAGGGTGCTTGATTGCCTGTCCAAAGTTTCAATCAAGTGACACAGAACCAAGTCCTATCATAGTTATGCCAATTTCGAAAAGAGAGGGCCTGGCAAGGACAGCTGTCTAGTCCTTCGGATGATACGAAAAACCGAGGTCGCGTGTATATATTGGAATGCACATAAAAGATCCCTTGGCATTGGAATCCATTAAAACACCATAGATGTGAAACCCCATTTCATTTCATCTGTATATTAAACTAAAGAAGATAAAGTTTTGCTAGACTATTTGATTTTTTTTGTTGTTTTCACGGGTTATTAAAAGGTTAGAGGCATTATATGGTAATTTATATAATGAAAGAAATGTGTGTATTAGTGGTATACACACACATTCTGGACCAGGTGGATTTCATCAATACCTGCTCTATGATATAACATCTTTAGGCTTTGTTAAAGAATCATTTGAACCACTTGTAGCTGGAATAACAGAGGTATGCTTATTTTTGGACTTTATTTTACATGGGAGCCATGGTGGCTCGGAGAAGGGAGATCTGGGGTTTGATCTGGGTGTTGACCGAGAAAGTTCCTGTGAGTGTCATCCATATTATCGTTTAATGAAAACATGGCGACGTTGTCTTGGTAACTAAGCCATCCCCGGATCAGAAAAAAGACCTAGCTGCAATGGGTAGATTTGCTCCTACATTCTACATATTTAAATGTTTGTATTTGGTGATATTTTGTATAGAATATAACGGAAAGAGTTAAATGTTTGTATTTAGTGATATTTTGTATAGAGTATAAAGGAAAGAGTTAAATGTTTGTATTTAGTGAAATTTTGTATAGAGTATAAAGGAAAGAGTTAAATGTTTGTATTTAGTGATATTTTGTATAGAGTATAAAGGAAAGAGTTTAATGTTTGTATTTGGTGATATTTTGTATAGAGTATAACGGAAAGAGTTAAATGTTGTTGTTAATATTTTTGTATAGAGTATAAGGAAAGCTCATGAATCTATTCAACCAGGTAATATTTTTACTAACAATGGAGAACTATTAGACAGTAACATCAATCGTAGTCCAACGTCTTATTTAAACAACCCTGCAGCAGAAAAAAAAAAGTAAGTAAAAGTTTATTCAATAATGCTACATTGATATTTAGTCAGACATGCCGCATTTACACCTGATTGAGGACAAGGTTATGAGGCCAAATGGGTTCGGCACAGTATTTTTGGCTCCCACAGGGTGTACTCGGCACTAGATCCAATTATAGGTTACAAGCCTGTGCGTGACAAGGAATAGGTTTGTCCGCCCAACCTCATGGGTTTTTCCCGGGTCCTCCAGTTTCCTCCCAATGCTAAAGACCCCTACGCAGTGGCAAATTATGGAAATAAGATTGTTGCATATGCTTGTTCTCTCAATTCATGCCCCCTAATCAGCCTATCCTCAAGTTTAGCTAAAACTTTAGAACATTGCAGATGATCATTGCTGGTGTAGCTAATACCATACACTGATATAGAGACATGATTTGCACCTGAAGCCAGAAGAAAAATGATTGTTACAGGTTTAACAACATCAGACCTGGAAATATACAGTTTATATGTACCTGACATTACTGAACTAGTTCCTGGCATTTTGAAATGTGTGCCAGACATGTATTATAAATATCATTAAAAACATTGATAAAGGACAAGTCTGTGCAGGACACAATGACAGATACCATAGGGATTGTGTCTGACATTGTGATTTTATTGTATATTAGAATATTTCATTATTGCTTAATAATATATTGAGTGTTTGTGATTTTAGTATTAAAATAGCATTAATTTGTTTCTAGAAGGATTTATATTGAGATGTTCTTTCTATCATGTTTATTACAGGCTCTGAAAGCAGGTGGTTTACCTGAAGATACTATATCTGTTATTGCTGGTCTATCCAATGATTATGCTGATTATCTTGCTACCTTTGAAGAATATCAGTTAAAAACATCAACCATATTTTTTTGTGGATTTATTTTGATATCAAATGACATATTTAATTACATCTCATTTACTTATTGGGTAGAGTTTCAGTTTGATTGAAAGTTTCACATTATTAAAGCTACTGAAAAATTGATCACTGTACATGTATTATGAAGACTAAAGGGGAGACAACTCATATTTTCAGTTTGATATATTTCTATTGAAGGTTTATAATTGTGTAGTTGTTCTCTGTTAATTTATTGTAGAAACAGAGATATGAAGCTGCATCAACAATTTATGGTCTGTATACATTACAAGCCTATTTTCAAGAATTTACAAAGTTAGCTACAGATTTAACCACGGTATATAAATTTTACTAAATTGTGTCATTAACTGTTATTTGATAGGCTGCTCTGTTCTGTGGAAAGGACAGGGTTGACCGGTTTACTTCCCTTTTGTAAATCTAGAATTTTAAAGCAGTTAAATTAGAACATGTTATCCAGTCATGATTTCTGATTAACTATTACATGTCTTGATGTCCCACTCAATAAAGTGCCTAGGACAAGAATTTCTATTGTTAAAGAGCCTTTGACAATTGCAGTTATAGGAAGACTAGGCCAAAATGCCCTGGCAAAATTAATTCTTGTATTGTATACATGATTATAATAAAATAAAAACTAACCCATCAAGTATATCTTTCCTTTCTTGAGAATGTATTTTAAAGTTGGTAAGATTAAGGAAAAGAAATGTATATGTGTATGACAATATATGTAGCCCAGGAATATAGGAAATAGATGTTGAAATTGTTCAAGTTATTCCATAAAATAACATAAATATAACAGGGTTTTGCTGGGCCAAACTGCCTAACATGTCCACTTTATATCATAATTATTCATAAGGTCTGTCATTGAGGTAACTGGCATGGTTTCAATCCCACACTTGTACATAACAAGGAGTAGGGTCACCTGTCCAACCTTATGGGATTCGCCTGGTCCTCCGTTTTTGACTCCACTGCTAAACCCCCTACGTCTTCAATATTTGCAGTTGTATATCTAACAGCGAAAATCTACATCCGTTAAGAGAGAGAGGCGATTTGATACAATACAATAAAACGCCCACCTTAGACCATTCTGTCACTCCTCCACCGCACTGAGAGAGAGAGAGACACACACACACACAACCTGTACGTATGTGATTCAGTACAGTAAAGGGCCCACCTTAGACCATTCTGCCCCCCCCCCCACAGACACACCTGTGATTAGTGGTAAGGCTAAAAACTATGAAGGAAAAATATTCTCCATTATGTAATATAACCAGAGACGTAGCCTGGGGGGGGGGGGAATGAAATTATACAAAATGTTGATAATCTGTAATGCCGGAGGCACGAGGCTGTGCGGCAGCCAATGTAGCGCGATAGGGAGAGTGTGGGAGGGTCACATTAGAATCGGATTCAGTCAGTTCACTTTTTGGGGGGAAAATTGGTAAATTAAAAAATATAAGCTACCTACTCGGTCCTTCCTCATTCCATTTGTGTCTTTCAAAACTTTTCAAATTCCGGGGAGAGATCTACCCCCGCCCCCCACCCCCTTCGCCAAGTTGCTTGTCCCAGGGCCTGGATGTCTATCTCGCAGGCCCTAGTTGGAAGACATCATTTTATTTATTTGTTGACAAAATCTAGTTATTGATGGGCCTGTTTTTAATTCATAAATAGAATTATCTCCCTTGCTATACTGGACATAATAATAGTGAAATGAAATGAAATGAAATAGGGTTTAATGGATGAACTTTCTCGGCCAATGCAGGGATCGGACACCCGACCTCTAGGCTAGCGAGCTAGCGTCTTACCCACTTAGCCACGTGATCCCCCTAATAATAGTAAAAAATAACCCCAGTGGTTAAAGTCCTGACTAGACAGCCTACATATTCAATGGTATGAACAACATGAAAACATGTCAACACTTAAAGTAGATAGTATAGTCTTTGAGAATTATGATGTCTCCATGGAAACTGGCTTCTTGATGGAATCTCCATTGGTAGGTATATTAGGGTAGCCATAGCCATGGCAATGGTTTCAATTTCATTTTTAAACAGGACATTTTTTTATAAATATCTTCAATGTAGATCTACAGCCCCATCACTTGTACCGACATAGTGTACTCAACTGGTTTTAAATAGGTCAAATACAGCTCAGGTTTTAAAGATGCATTGTGAAAGTTTTATATGAAGAGCTTTGACAGCTACTTCTTGCTATAAAGCCTGTCGTACGATAGGAAATTTGCCACATTTTCATTTGCCATATGAGATTTGACAAAAGCTGGCATGCATAGCTTTTCGTCAAATAAATGTGTCAAAGATATGGAACTTATGCTCGTGTACGATAGGTCGTCAAATAAATTGCTGGCTTCGTACACGGTCAAAGAAAATTTGAAGAGACCGTCAAAGAAATTTGTCATATTTTCTTTGCTCGTGTACGACAGGCTTAACTGTTGGGATACAACATAGGCCTACATAGGCCTAATGAAAAAGGAATATTCTGAACCAAGTTGAGCTGTTAGGAGAATAGTGGAGTCTCGATTGTCATTGCTACTGTTGTGACGATAGTAAACAAAGTCTTAATAATAATATACCGTAATAATAACTTTATTTTCAAAGGAATGCTGTCTAGTCATTCAGATGGGACAAAAACCGAGGTCCTGTGTACAAATTGGCATGCACATAAAAGATCCCATGACAGTTGGAATTCGATATAAGAGTAGGCCGTTGTGCTGATCTCTGGACAAAATTTCCCTCATAGCATGTGTATGGCGTATGCCCGTCTTCATTACCCCAGTTCGGAGCAGAACAATATAATGTTAAACCCCATTTCATTTCATTGCTTTGTGGTGGTTCCCCCTTGTCAGTGATGCAGGATGGAGGGCCTGACAAGGACAGCTGTCTAGTCGTTCGGATGGAATGAAAAAACGAGATCTCCTGTACACATTGGCGTGCACATAAAAGATCCCTTGACTGTTGGAATTCGATATAAAAGTAGTATGTAGTGCTGCTGCCCGGGACGTTAAACCCCATTTAATTTCATTTCAGTTCTTTGTGGGTACATTGAGGTTTGATCAGATACCCTCATAGTCTCATGTTATAACTCCTTCAGAGGAATTATAAGAGAGCTGAAAGTCAACTGTAGCCTATACTTGTCATGCTGTATTTAAATCAGTAACAACTACTTGTACCCTTATTTCTGTCATAACTTGGGGATAACAACATTGCCCTTTATAATGTGACTGACTACATAATTGTCACCCAACTCGTAGTCTAATAGATGTGTTGTAAATCATATGGGAGATGCTAATTGTAGGCCGTATGGGGAGGTTGGGGAATTTCCTGAGTTCACAATGGCTGCTTTATAGAAATTAGTATTTTGGGGAATACTAACCCTAACCCTTTCTAGAAGACTTTTACCCCTCTTAAAAAGTTTGGGCTAGGGTTAGGGTTAGTATTCCCCCAAATACTAATTTATATAAACTTATAAAGCGACCATTGTGGACCTTCCCAGCCATGCTACAATTAGCATTCACCTAATCATATAGTCTGTTATCTATGCAGAGTCATGGGGTGTGTTTGTGAGTAAGAATACCTATATTAGAAGTGACATGGTTTTCTCCACACAGAGAACACTATCTATTTTGAGAATAGTTCTTTGCCTTGGCCTGACTAGAATCGCGGGGCGCCTAACGCCACGAAAAGATTATTCCATATCCTTTTGAATGGCACGCATGCATAACACACAATTAAACGGTCTGTAATACAAGAATAATTACATAACTATTCAGTTTCGAATGGCATACAATGCGTGGAAATGACATATAACTGGATTGAGTCAAGGCCGTATCTAGCAGAGGTGCAGGGGTAACATTGCACCCCCAGAAAAATAAGGTGCCCCGAGAAATGGCGTCCCCTCAAAAAAATTGACAACCTTTCAATTATGAAATAATACACTTGATTATGATCACACAGTGATGCTCTTCAGGCAGTGATGAGTCGGTCGGTTTTAATGGCACCCACACGCCAATAGGTACCTGATTTGTTTGCCCTGATCCAAACTTTCTTATATCACTTATGTGGAGGCCATGGGGCGCCACACGTTTGGAAAATGCGTTTGTGGCAGCCTAATTTTCAAAATTTTCGGGGGGGGGGGGGACACACACACCCACACACACCCACACGCACACACACACAGACATACACAGACACACACACACCGCTGTGCGAGCGTGGCGCTCGCGGGCTCCAACCTACGCCGGTCGCCGCTCCGCGCTCAGTAACTCGGGCATTATATTGGTGCCCCCCACCACTCTGCTGCACCCCCACTTTTAAAATCCTACATACGGACCTGGATTGAGTGGAACTTCACAGAGAAGGTTGAGAGATAGCTCAATCTCCGCCCTCATGCCTCTAGATCAATTACCGTGAAATTTTCATCTAGAATTTGAATTTTTTTTCTCTGTGTGCCATGAACCGCGGGGCCCCCTAAACTGTGGGGCCTAAGCTGGGCTTTGCTTGAATGGCCAACATATTAAAAAATTAGTATACTATTTTCTAATGCGCTTTTATTCCGTTTTATATCTTCAAAGTTTAAACAAACATTTTGAATTTTATTAAATGAAATCAGAATAAATTCTTCTCCAAGTATATTTAGGAATTAAGATGTCGGTCAACTAACTTCATGTCTGTTCTCAAGCGGAACTTTTGTACACAGACCTACGATTTTCTTTTTCTAAACAATATTTTATTCACAGAAACTGGATTGAGAACAGGCAGAAGCCTATAGACCCCCTGATCAAGTGAAATTCTGAAGAGATGTATTTCTATCTTACTAGTACCTTTTGTCTAGTCATAAGACTAATGCAACCTAGTCATATTTTTGAGTTGTACATCTTTTGAACCTGTTGGGATCGTGATTTTCTTTTTTAAAACTACCAGAATAAAAATGGTGAAAACCGTTATAAATACTTTAGACAACAAAACTGCTGTTGAGGTGTATTTGCCATTGCTTTGCAAATTGTAAGCTGCCATTTGACCTAGGATCCTTAACCTTTTCTTTGCCATTGATAAAAATGCAGAAAAATGTGTCAAAGCATGTTATCATCTAACATTGATAATTATCTTTTTTTTTATCTCTGACAGGAAGAGCTTCCAGAATATTTTGAAGCATGGAACCGTCTATCCAAAGAAATGTCAGATTTGGTGGAGAAGAAGATGATGAAGGAAGAGGTACTAAAGGTATAGGACATCATTTTAACTTAAACAGGCAATTTTTGGTGGCTGAATGGTCTAATGTAAGGCCTGTCATTGCATGAAGTGACTAAGTCTCTATCTCTCAGGTAATGCCACTGCCAAGGCAAGATGTTCTTTTCTCATTGAATTGATTTTGATCAGTTTCTAAGACATACAGATGATGTAGCTGATGAAATAAATGTCCTAAATAATGTTCTTAGATAATGTGTATATATACTATTCAAAAAAAGTAGGGGATATTTGATTTTTAAGTGTTATTAAAGTCACCTAATGAAACTGACGAAGAAACAAATGACAAAATGAAATGAAGTTCACATTCATCGATTTATTCCAAATGATCGTTAGACTAAGTAAGGCACAGACTGACCATTATAAGGGTAAAATGATACCCGGGGTCAAACAGCAAAGTTACCACAGCATCACAACCAAGTCAGTAACGGGTAAATCCTCCTCTGTTTGCCAAACAAGCATTGATCCGACGTGGCATACTCCTAATGAGACGTCTAAGGTCATTTTGGTCCAGATTGTCCCATTCCTGTTGCAACGCAGCAGCAAGTTCTTGGACATTGGCAGGACGTTGTTGACGTTGACGTAACCTCTGTCCAAGCATGTCCCAGACATGCTCGATGGGGGAGAGGTCGGGACTCAGTGCTGGCCAAGGTAATGTGGTGATGTTCTGTTGTTGGAGGTAACCTGTAACGATCCTGGCCCTGTGACATCTTGCGTTGTCATCCTGGAAGATGAAACGGCGGCCATGACGTCGTGCGAACGGCACAACATGGACTGCCAAGATGTTGTCCCTGTAGTACTGGACTGTAACACGCCCTGCAACAACATGTAAAGCCGTTCTTCCAGCAACAGTGATGCCTCCCCACACCATAACAGAACCACCCCCAAATCGATCATGTCTGATGACGTTAACGTCTTGGAAGCGCTCGTTTCGACGACGCCACACCCTCCTACGTCTGTCCAAAAAATCAACAGTGAACCTTGACTCATCTGAAAACATCACATTGCTCCAGCGTCGATTATCCCAGTGTTGACGATTCCTACACCAACGACGTCTTGCCTGAATGTGATGATCTCTCAAACAAGGGATCACGCGAGGACGTCGGGCGCGAAGGTGACCCCTATGCAGTCGATTCCGAATCGTCTGGCCACTCACTCTCACACCAGTGTCTGTTTGAAGACGAGCGCTGATCTGATTTGCTGTGATGGCACGATTTCTCAAGGCCAAGGTACGGATAAATCGATCCTGGGCTTGTGTTGTCGCCCTTGGTCGACCTGAGCGTGGTCTGTCCTGTACAGATTGTGTATCACGGTATCTGGACCATAGCCTGCTTATGACAGACTGAGAAACATTCATCGTCCGCGCCACAACCGCCTGTGTTGTGCCGATCTGTAGCATGCCAAGGGCACGTAACCTTTCATTTTGGGTAAGCCGACGCATATCAAAATTTGTTTTCTGGTCACTAAAACAATTAAACTGATGTTTCCACCCTGGAATTCAATGCCACAATGACTGTAACATTCAAAGTCAGAGTCGTTCAAATCTTGGGTTGGACCCCCATGATGATCCCAAGCATCACCTGCATTCCATGCGGTAGCTATTGGTGCGTTTGGGCGTCACATGTAACTGGAAATGTTTCTTCTGTTAGGTTCTATAGTGACTTTTTTCGTTGTCATTTGCATATTTTGAATAGTATATATAGGCCTTACTTAATCTGTATTTATCATTTTAGATGCCTTATCTTGATGCCTCAAAGCTAAAAAGCAGAAAAGAAATACGTCTAGCATATTTACAGTTATCTATAATAGGAGCAGGGTATGTTTGGGAGGATGGTGATGCAGGAGCACCAGAAGTAAGTACAGTGCAGGGTTGAAGTAGCAGATTTTATTCTTTATTTGCAATAGGGGGCTCGGTAAACCAGAAGGTCCTGGGTTTGATCGCTGCGTATTCCTGTCTTTATTACCCTAGCGCCCTAGTTGGGACAGAAAAGGTCTTTGACTGATATAATATCTGACAGATCTTTTGTATTTTTGCAGGCGTTGTCTGTCAATGCATTTTCACAAACCTTTTCAGCAGAATACAAATCTCTTGATTTCATGTCTAGCTTCAGTTATAGCTATGAATGAATCTTTTGGGGCAGGGAGTAGGTTATGGCATTGTGGACTGGAGGAAAGAATCGATCACAAAATCAACAATAAAAGACATCCCTTTCTTCAAATATATGATGATGAATAAATTTCAATGATAATGACCATCTTGTCTTAGCAACAGTTTATATGTCCAAAATATGGAATGGTTAGTGTGAATGAGTTGGTTGATGGAGACTGGATATTATTTAATGCTTGGTATTTTTACCCCACTTTCATTCCTGTGGTATATTTTGTAGAGTATACCAGAATGTGTTGCTGTACCATGGTATGAGATATCATCTAAATTGGGTGTTCAACCTATCCTATCACATCCAGGTTTCTGTTTAGTTAATTACAAACAACTAGATCCAGATAGGTAATATTGTACTTATAGCTTTTTTTTTTTTAACTTATTACAAGATTTAAAGCTTAGATCCAGATAAGTATGTACATTGTACCTCTGGGTATAGTCATGCATAATGTTACATCCAACGTAAAAAAACATTTAGTTTTTATATGTCCACATTTTCTTGTGGACCTATGCTGTCATCGCCCCTGCCCGTCTGCCTGTCCATCCACAGTTTATTTGTGGAAACTTGAAATATAGGTCTATCTCTCACAGATCTCTGTTCCTTTCGATATCGGCATGTATCTTTCCTAATTTGGGGGTTGGATGGCTGAATGGTTAGCATGTGCGCGCTGTATCATAAAGTCTGTCATTGAGTCAACTGGCGGGGTTTCTAATCCCTGGTTGTACGTGACAAGGAGTAGGGTCGTCTGTCCAACCTCGTGGGTTTTCTCCAGGTCCTCCGGTTTCCTCCCACTGCTAAAGACTCCTACGCGCAAGCAAATTATGGAAATAAAATTGAAGCATATGTTAGTCCCGAAATGACCTATTTTGTGTCGAGTGGACGTTAAACCCCATTTCTTTCCCTTTCTTTCTTTCCTAATTTACTTAAAAGTAAAAACATGTACATGAAACATGGACAAAACAATGGCCCTAGTATGTAGGCTACATCACTATTTATATTTATTATTTACATATTTTATTTCAGGCCATTATCACTGAGGTAAGAACAATATTTGATTATTGAATACACTGATACTGGTTATTATAATGGTGTATATCTCATTGATCTATGATCATTGATCTTCAAGATAACATGAGCCAATATTAGTCACAATCAGACCCATCATACTTCATTCAGAAACATCATTTATTTACAAGATTAAGACAATACTTCTATTACGCAAACTCCTCACATTGATAAGCTGTACTTAAAGAGGGTTAAAGTGAGTACCGCTTGGTAACAAAATATAAGGGCTATGGGAGGAAAATGTTTAATTTTGGGTGCTGGTTTGAGTTATTAAAGAAATTATTTAAGCAACCTTATGTAGCAGATTAACTGCCTGTCTGCTTGTACAAATTTACATTAAATTGTCCTTCAATGAAAGCAAAATTATGTTCAAGTAGATCTGCCTCAGTTTTTTATTTATGGATTTATGGAGCAGCGATGGCTCAGTTAGTAAGACATTTGTTCGTTAACCTGGAAGTCCTGTGTTCGATCCAAGTGTTGGCAGAGAAAGTTAATCAGGATTTTCCAGCGTGGTTCCCCCACTGTCAGTGGTGTAGGAAGAAGGGCCTCGCAATTGTATAATTGTTCGGAAGGGATAAAAAAAATCAAGGTCCTGTCTGTGTACTTATTGGCATGCACATCAAAGACCAATGACAGTTGGAATTCAATATAAAAGTGGGTTGTAGTGCAGTTGTCCAGTGTATGGGGTATGTCCATCTCCATCAACCCAGTTTGTTCAGAACAGTTGGATGTTAAGCGAACTTAAGCCCCATTTCATTTCAGTTCATTTATTTTGATTAACTTGATTTAAGAGTTTGATGATGCTATATATTTATAGTAATATGAAGAGTCTATATATTGTACCAGGAGGTGATGAGTGTAATTGGTTTGTTGTAGTAAAATGTGCTATAGAATTAGAATTCACTCACGCATTACAGGTAACACATTAATTTCAAGAAACAGTTTACATTTTGAGTGAAACCTACTAGATGCCGGACAGTACAGCGCAGTGGTGCTTAGGCTAGATCAGAGACATTAACAAGTTAAATTAAATAATAGCTTTATTTGTTAATAATATTAACCTTGAGTACAATGTTCAACACATTTATTACCAAGGAGCCTGTCTAACCTTGTTTTTTTTCTCCAGGGTCCCCCCAGTGCTAAAGACCCCTATGTGCAGTTAAACTATTGAACTAAAATTGAACCACATGTTAGTCTCAAAGTGACCTAGTTTGTGTTGATGTTGAGTGGAGGTTAGACCCCATTTCTGTCTTTCTCTTGTTACCAAACATTAAAGTACTCTGAACTTACATACAAGTGGGAGTCCAAATTTTTGTTTCTGCCTCTGAGTTTTATATTGTTATAGGCATGACATACAACACAATATTTCCAATCTGATTTTATTTCAGCCAATATTAAGTCTATTAAAAGGAGGTGAAAGTGGTAATATTGATATGATGATATCAGGGCTACAGAAGATCTACAAAGTTGTTAAAAACTTGCAAAATATTTTATCTAAAATGCATGGTAAGTTCCTTTGAAATAGAACTTGTTGAAACTTAAAATGTTGATTGGGTAATACCCATAAACTAAAGTTGTGTTGGCCATTATAAGCTTATATGGATATTTTTAAGGGAGCTGCAGACTATATATTGTCTGTAAGGATGCTGAATGTTGTCAAAGTTTTCATATCTTTGTAAATATTAAACAGGATTATATATTCCTGTGTCAGTAATTGTTTGTATTCAATTTCTTTTCAGATAATTTGAGTGCAGATACATTTTATAATAAAATTAGACCTTTTCTTAGTGGGTAATGTATTGGACAGTTTTCTCCATTTGTCAAATTTAATCTGTGTTATTAAGACAGTGACAGGGGCAGACAGGGTAGCTCTAGACACCTGTAAGAGTATTAAATTGCTTGATATAGACACCTGTAAGAGTGTTGAATTGCTTGATATAGATACCTGTAAGAGTATTGAATTGTTGCATGTAATAAACTAAAAAGTAGTAAATCCATAAATTTGTGTTTTTATAATGTTATACCTCTGTCATTGAAGGGTAGTATCATATCTGATTATACAGGTATATTTTAATTACAGGTGGGGTGGTGAATCTAATCCTTTACCTGGTGGGTTGATTTATGAAGGTGTTGAAGATTATAAACCTTTAAAGGTATGTAATTTAATTAGATTTAATATATCATAGACAGTTGCAAAGCTATGAATAAAATAATCAGTCATTGAATTTACATTAAACAATGAATAAAATAATCAGTCATTGAATTTCCTTATTCATTCATTGTTAAATAGAGAAAGTGAGGGTTTGAATATTAACATTTTATAGTAATTTAAATGGTTATGTTTTAGATGATTGGCGGTAGTGAGGCACAGAGTTCTGTTTTTCAATTACTTGATGTTACATTAGGAATAGAACACAGTCAAGGTATATTGTTTATCAAACTTGGGAATGAAAATCCAAGAAAATCATATAATATAAATGTATCTCATATAAATACACCTCATTTACATACCCCTGAAATCGTGAGTAAAGCTTCCCTTAAATGTTGTGGACTGAGCATAACGACTATGTGAAGGGAAGGGAACACAATGATTTGATTTGCATAATGGATTTACAGTTTAGTGTCAAACATACAGCTCAGATATGCTATAAACCTAGCATGTTCCACACAGCCGAGAATGTCTCGGAGAGAAGCTCCTGGATCCCTAATGATATAAAGATTGGGATTTGTGCCCTCCGAGGATGTTGTTCATAATGCAATCACCATGTCCCTGACTGAGCAAATCAGTGTGATATTATGTGTTACTAATTAGAAATATTTATGTGTAAAATGATAATTGTGTCTGTTCTTTTTTTCAGATAAAAAAGATTTTTTAGAGGAGATGAGGAAGTATATGTTACCCATACATCATAAGTTGATAAAAGATATTAATAATCTTCCATTTAATATCCGTACTGTAGGTAAGTCAGAAATTGCACAAATTAATGTATAGTTTCTTGTATTAGGACATATTTCTATAACTGTTTGTGATAGTCATAAGAGTTAATAATCTACATCACAGCATACAAAACCAGTACACACTCAAAAATGTTTCAATAGCATTTAGTAAATAAACGTGAAATTCTGGGTAAGAACTTACATCCGCTTTGCCTGTTGTTCAATAATTTTCAAACAAAACTTAAAATTCACAGGTCACAAGACGAGAAAATGTCGCTCAATAATTGTATTCCTTAAAATTGTGACCTGTGTATTACACACTCTGCATGGTTCTTTGTGACAATTTGACAGACAGTGGAATTTGTTTTTGATAAATCCTTAATGAAATGAAATGACAGGGGTTTAACATCCTACTTTGCTGCACCAACCAGGATAATGTACTCACCAAGCCAGTGCCATCATTCCTGGTTAGTGAACCAGTGCCTTATTCACTGAGCCACTGCCATCATTATTGGTTAGTGAATCAGTGCCTTACTAAATGAGCCACTGCCTTCATTCCTTGTTAGTAAACCAGTGCTTTATGCTTTGAGCCACCATTCCTGGTTAAGAGTAATAATCACAGAGCCATTACGATTTCAGATTTCCATAAAAATAATAATCAGTAGGTACATATAAAAAGTGTTGGGCCTTTCAAAAAATTAAAGGGTAAAGGATGTAACTTTGTGGATCTAGTAGACTTTCAAGAGATTGAGGGAGAATCTGGTACCATTTCTCGATCGTCAAACAAGTTTCTCGATTGCTGGATCCTCTTGATGTATTATTATGCCAAATTGTAATGTTAAGAATCCATAGTGCTTGTCTTATCTAAAAGAAAATTTCTGATATATTTTTAAAATAACTGATTTTCCATTTCATCATTTTCAGTTGAAGAGAGTAATGATGATAAATTAAGAAAAGAATATAATTCATGTTTAACAGCTGTGTCAGATTTTAGATCCTACCATATACAGATAGTTACCAAGTAATAATCTTATATGTTTTAAAGTATACAATGTATTTGAATTGTGAAGGGTGGCGAAATCTTCAAATAAATTGTTGCAATTTAACTTTTTAAATCAATTCCCCACATTTAATATGAATTCAACTATTACATGTTTTGATAATTATAAATATGGAATTTAATTCAACATATTAAAGATGCATTATGTAAGATATAGATAAAGAGCTGGACATTCTTGCTATTATATTTCAAAAATTGATAACGAAAAATGAATATATTGAAGATGGTCTCGATTATCAAGTACCATTGTTAAAATAATAAACAAGGTCCTGATTATCCATTCAATATCACGGCCATCAAAGTTGATTATTGGCTTATGTGAATAAATGTCTAAATAATAATTTATATAACATTTAAAGGTACATTCCTGGGTACAAACTGGGTGATTTGATGATATATATTTGTACTAAAAACATATTCAAACAAATTAATTTATAATAATTTTGCTTCAAATCATTCTCAAAACATTGTTATTGCCAGGGAATACCTTTGCTATAAAAAATCGATCAAAAGAGGTCATGTTTGTGTCATATGACTTACCTCTCTCGATACCTAGCAACGGGTGCGAAGTCGGAGGAGAATTCATTGCATACACAAGACGATGTTGTCTTTAATTGCTATTACAAATATCGAAGCCTAATTAAATTCTTGGATTATCCACTGCCCGCGTCTTTTTCCATGATTTTTATATAGGAAAGTGTTGTACGTCTATCTCTTCATAAAGTTTATCAACATATACATCAAACGCTCAATCTCCTCGTGCAGCCTTTGACGAAACGTGAGCAAAAATTCCTAATCGTCGGGCTGTGGTTTAGGGAAACCCTTACATTTTTGTCCTGTATGCGCTCCATGAGTGTTTATCAAGGAATCCAATATTTTTCTAGTAAAATTGTATATTTCTACTTTCCATATATACCAAAATTGCCATACTTTTATTGGAAATAATCACCCGATAAATACTTTTCTGGGAACGTATCATTAAAGCCAGACAAAAGACCTGCAATAGGCAGATTTAGCTCTTGCATACTGCATCTTTAAACACGATGTTTTTTTAGATATATTATTATATCAGCTAATAAAAAGAATAGAAACAAAGAGATTGAAAGTTTGGCCAAGAAAGGTACAGGTGGTACAAGTAAGTTATTTTCTTTGTTTCTGTTAAAGGCCAAGTCCCAGATAGAGAATACCAGTATTCAATAAAACATACTAAAATAATAGTAATATAAGAAGATTTTTAAGAAGGCTCTAGTACTATGAAATTGTTATAGATTGTATTTTTAACACCCTAGAGTAATTATTTTGTGAAGTATTTATATTTAGTTAAAATTTTTTCCAGGCTTGCTTCCGTTTTTAAAAGATCTCAGAAAAGATACCCAAGATGCTGTGCTTTAGAAACAGTGGCGTAGCTGTCTATACAACCTAGCGGTCATGGCCGTACCAATATTTTAATTTTATGTTATGGCGGGCCATACCAGTATTGTCTACATAACATAAACAGAAGGAAATTCAGTCAAGTCATTTAAATAATTGAATCGACCAATTTTGATGTGATAGACTTTTATAATAAATTACATCATATGAGCTATGTGATTTAGCTCCTGTCTGTATAAACTAATCAATTTTATAATAAAATACATTTTTGGTCATTTTTAAAACTATTTGAGTTGTCTGTGAAAAGCATAATTTCAACATGTGAATTCAATAGCTCTGATACAACTTTAGCCTTCGTGACGGGGATAATAAATCTACACAAAACATATGTTCAGAACTGAATTTCCACATCACTAGCATGTTACATGCGGAATAAATCTGTGAGTCAATGGCTAAGGGTGTACAAGGTCCATAATTCTGGATAAAATATATGTGTGACTCTGTCGATAGCATTACTCCTTGGTGACAGAGAGAGAGAGAAATGGGGTTTAACGTCCACTCGACACAAACTAGGTCATTTGGGACTAACATATGGTTTAATTTTATTTCACTAATTCGCTTGCGCATAGGGGTCTTTAGCAGTGGGAGGAAACCGGAGGACCCGGAGAAAACCCACGAGGTTGGACAGGCGACCCTACTCCTTGTCACGTACAACCGTGAATTCGAAACCACGCCACTCGACTCAATGACAGACTTTATGATACAGGATTTCACCTGAATGACTCTCCCTAACTTTGGACAACAATTTGGTCTTGCTTTGGATGTCCACCACTATGTTTTGCAGAGTTAACGCCCCTATCATTGAAACCAAAGGGTGCTTGATTGCCTGTCCAAAGTTTCAATCAAGTGACACAGAATCAAGTCCTATCATAGTTATGCCAATTTCGAAAAGGTATTGTGAGCAGAATTGTGACATAATCAAACCTTTCAGCTATGGTGATTGGTGGCCAGAAATTCTGGTGTTTACATGATTGACACCTTTCGAGGGATTGAGAGAATCCAATGCCAGAATGTTCAATCAAGAATCCTCCAAATGAAAACTATTGTCCCTGACCTAGTAAATGATCAAGATCAACCACTTGAAGTATTCAACAGAAAGAAGTTATGTCCGATTTTCTGGCACTTCTTTCCCTTGTCATGACCACTGCACAAAAAATGAGAAGAATCATTGAAACTTGCTATTTAAACTACATGTAGATCCATTAACACAATTCAGATTTAATATTTATTAAAGTATATTCTATAGTCATTAAAATCTAATATACAACAGTTATTTTACTTCAAATATACAATGGACGGATTTCTCAAAATAAATTCATAACAAAACTAAAAAATGATGGATCGGAATTAACAATAATAGAAAATGAAAGATAAATTTAATATGTTCTTCACACCACTAATCATTTTTGTTTACTAAACAGCCAATATTTGTCCAAGTAAATGTCAGCATGCTGTCAAATTAGTGGATATATTGTCATTAGAAGAAAGTAAATTGAAGCCACATATATATGTAACATATTTTGAAATTTCTGCAGTAGTTAATGGCTGGAATGATACTAAAAAAGGCATAGGAAATGCATGTAAGATTGGGTCAACACAAACAATGGGTGTCTTTTCCGTATTACGAATTACATATGTGTGTATAACAAAGCAACTTGGATGAACAGAGAAAGTACATATAAGATAGGGTCAAACCAAGCAACGTCTGCTCAGAGTAAGCACACTTTACCATAGAATAAGGTATATGTCAAACAATAAACCATTTTATGATATATGTCTTTTACAGGCTAATGCATGGAATGTTTTAAGTACAGTCATAGGTCACAATGAATTACCACTTACAAATGGTTGAAGTGTCTTAATGAAATGTTTTACATTAGTAATAGTATAGTGCAAAAATATTTATATAACGAAATTTCTAGAATTTTATGTATAAATTAATATTACTTTGTACATGAATAACTATATTATGTTAAAGCGAGTAGACTTATGGAACAGGCACCATATTATCCTTTGCCCATTTTTTCATTGTTCTAATAATATATTCTACTTGTGGATTACTGGTGTTTCTCAACATATTAATAACATCTCGTAACATTTCCCTGAAAAACACGATTAATTAGTTTAATAATGAGATTTGATGCTTTTTATCACAACACAGAAAATTCGAAGAACTCACTGAAAAGAAGGGGGAAAGAACGAAAGTATATTGAATGAGATAGATCTATTTCATGCATTGAATGAATTATTAAAACACAGCAATAATTATTGTCCTTTGTTAGTGCTTGCATCTTTCTTTATCAAGTTTTAATTTTAAGCTTTAAAGTTATATTTTCTTGAGATTTCCTGCTTAAATGTGTTCCAAATTCTAATGTGAACAATCTCCATTTCTGCAGGACATGTAAGTAATAAATTTACAGTTACTACACTACACAGATAAATAACATAATTAACACAAAACGTTACATGTTAAAAAAATTCTAAAGTACTTATGAAATTTTATCTGTCAAAAAGGTGTAATGTAGTTTACATCCTTACTAAATACTTCAGATACAAAGCATTAAATTATCATCATGAAGATTAAGAATTTTAAAGAAATTGAATGCTTCCAGCAATATAAGCCTCTAAGCTTTGATCTGTGGCGTTACTTTAGTTTCCGCTAGTATGGTAGACTAGATGGTATATCAAGTTGAAGGATGAACACAAGACTGTACAAATGAAACAAACAGTACAAGAAAAACAATAAGACCCAGAAAACAAAAACCCAAGACCCATCACAAATTTTTTTAACCGCACCAACAATAATGAATAAAATTTCAAGCCGAAAGTAATTAACTGCTGAAAACAAAAACATTGAACTGAACAACAGCTAAACTTGATCATACCAACAGCCGAGTACAACTTGACGTTACTAACTACATCAAACTGGTAGAGGTACTGAATTATCTCTTGCCCACTTTTTAATAACATGACCTAAATGCTCCATCTTAGCATCACTATTATTTCGTAGTAGAAGTACTATATCACCTAATTTATCTCTAGTAAGAAGATATATTGAAAGGAGAAATAAGTAACATGCAGATAAACAGGGCGATATGGAAATATGAAGTTTTTTTTCTGAAGATCCGGACATGATCTCAAGGCAAAAATTCTAGGATACTAATCTCGAATTGTAAGATCCCAACATAATGATCTTAAAATTTCAAATTCTGATCTAGTGATTTTAAAATTTTGATATCGTGATGTTAGATTTGTGAGGTAAAGTTTTGATCTTGTGATGACAAAGTTCTGATTTTCAGGACATTAGATCTCAAGATACAAATGTAATAAAAACTGAGTTTCTTGAGTTGTTTAAATCAAGATTTCTGTAAGTAAGACTCTAGATGTTTAAGTATTTAACTATATATATATATCAGTAATACATCTTTAGTAAAATCCAGATCTTGGTATAATGAGTCACTAGAGAATATGTCTGAATTTTATAATAAATTTCACAAAAACTGAAAGCGTTAGACAATTATGCACTTTGAATATGGCATTCTAGATGCTAGATGCTAGAACTCCAAAAAATTCAAATGAATAAGGACAAAATGAAATAATCTAGTTCGAAAACTAAAATATATGTATATTGGTATTAATAGCAAATAGAGGAATGGATATTGATTGAAGGAGAGAGAAGGGGTGTTGACACAAACATTGATTTACATTTAGTAGAAATATTTGGATTGTATTTAAAGTTATAACCATATTTTACCTTAGTTCTTGGTTTGAATAATTTAAACAGAAGAAAGCTAACTATCAAGACAGATTATACAAAAATTCACATATCTAAACAGTAAACATAAATGACAGTCAGACGCAATTTAAACATAAGCAGAAGTAAGGCGGAAAAATTCATTTGTTTCGACTCCAGACTAATTAAAGTGATTATTGGGATTTTAATAAAATTAGGGAAAATTGTGTTGTTTGTTAATTTGATATAAAAATTGTATTAAATGTACCTTTGTTCGTGACCAGCTATAATCAACTGAAAAACACCCACACAAGCCCCTCGTTTACCCTCCCAATATTCAGGATTTGGATCCAATCTTTCCAACACATCAAAAGCTTTAGCAGCATGGTAAAACTGTCCCATCTGAAATAATTATGTCAATACATACAATCAGCCATCAAATAAAATGATGACAAACTTAAAGACTGGCAATATATAATATTGTGAAATATTTAATTCAAAGCCTATATTTGTATATTATTGCCTATAGAAAAATCTTTACTTCAACTATTGTCATTGTTACCGGGTATATTTTACAATTCATGTTTTGGTTTTTTTTTTTTAAAAAAAAGAGCAAATTGTTAGACAGCCATTGGCCTAATTTTCTAACCTTTCCAAAAGAAAGTTATTGTAATTATTAATATTGATGTTAAAATGATTGGTTATTCAGTAATTCTATATATGTGTTTAATTCCAACCTTATAATCTATATCAATAAAGATTAAACAGATGGACCTGTTACCTAAGTAAATTGTATTGTATATAGAAGTAATTAGACCTAGTCATGAGAGTATTATAATAAATTACCTTATAACAGTCATTAGCTATTAGTTGTAAAAGACTGAAAGATTCACCAGACGTTTCCATTTTCAGATATAACTCCCACGCCAGTCTAGGTTTACGATTCATGATATCTGTTAAAACAAGAGTAGAAACATAGTTAGGGTATACAAACGCATCCAGAAATATTAAAACACATACATAAAGACACAAATATTCTTGCAATCTAAGATCCTATTTCCAAGAATTCTTACTCACAATGATAATCATGTACCCAGGACAAAACATGGGCATGAACTAATCTGTCTAAAATGTTTGCATATCAATTCAATGCAAATAAAAAATTGTTTTATTACTAACTGGCCATCATCACCAAAGTGTTTTACACCTTGAAGGTCAAGACTTTTTCAGTCTAAATCTTTCAAAAGTTAATATTACAAGTATATCCCAACACGGATTAACATTGTGTCTTAAGTAATGGGAAATTATGTGAAAACTTACATGTTCTAGCCAACCAACTAAGATAAGTATAGTCATTCTTCATCTTATCACTCTGTATTAACAAAAATACCTACAGCAAAAAAAAAGATGTATGTAAGTAAACTATTGATCAATTAAGAAAAATAATGTGATGACAATCAGCAATCAGTCAATTGAATAATAATTTGACGACTTCATATTTTCTAATGAAATGAGGTTTGAGGTCCTACAATTCTGCACAGACTGGGCTAATGAAGATGGACATGTGCCATACTATGAGGGAAATTTTCCGCGGACAGCAGCATCTGTGCCTACTCTTTATTGAATTCCAACCATCATGGGTTACATTATATGTACACCAACGCATACAATGATGGATCTTGGTTTTTGATAAAAATTCCAAGGACCTGTGAATAAAACTACTAACCTCTTCTGCTTCTTTAAAATTACCAACAGCTGCCTTGGCTTGAGCATAATCAAAATTAAATGCATCATCATTATAGAAGTAACTCTGAAAAATATATCAATGCCAATCAAGGATCATAACCCCTAATTCAATGTAAATCAATTTTTTATAAATTTGTTTATTAAAAAAGTTACTAACTATATGACTTTAATATTGATTTACCTTGACAGAATTAAAGTAAATAAGAACATCTTCAAATTGCTTGAGTAAAAAGAAACAGGAGGCCATACATTGTCTTCCAGGTATGGTATCTGAAAAACATTTATACATGATATATCTACGGATATTTTGTATGACAATTACAAGATTTAAGGAAGAATACTAAACTTAGGGATGATTTTTGAACTGTTAAATTATTTATTTATTAACCGGTCGACGTCATTTTGACATCATGATGTCAAGTGGTCAGGCTAAATAAAGGCCGACGTGAAATATTTTGTATGTCTATTTCATAGACTACTGTCGAATAATTATAAGTGATAGGCCCTTGACACCAATAAAAAAGTTGAAGGGGATAAGTTGATCTATAATTTGCAAATCATTCTAAGTCCTTTTCATCAGAAATATCGTTTTCAGAATCGGTCTTATTGATATAATCTGAGTCGGAATCATCCATAAGTATTTCAACCCCTTCGAGCATCTTTAACCGTACCGACATCGTTAAATTACGTTTTTCATCAAAAAATGTTGAACAAAGACATGTTTTTCTCAATGCCCTTGACAAGACAAGTTCCTGTCTGACACGCATGCATGGCCATATCAATTAAATCGAAACTAAATACTCAAATGCGGCTTATCAAAAAGGTTCTTGCTGTGGTCGACTTTAGTCGACCGTGACCACTTAGCTGTATAACGTTGTATGAAGTTTAAAAACAAGGACATACAATCTGTATGATGAGTAAAATCTATTGATTTCAAGTATAGCAATATTGCTCCTTGATCAAGATACAGATATGTATTATTAATTAAATAAAGAATAAGTGATTACTCACCACATTCACTAGCTGATCCACCAACTAATTGAAAGTATTGCTGGGCAATTTTCAGATGCTCCCTCTAAAAATGAAATAAAAAAATAGAGACAGGTAACCAAGAAACACTGAGGAAACCCACAAGGTTAGGAAGACATACTTACTACTTGTAATGTATAATTGTGGAATCGAACTCACAACTAGCATGATATGGCACTTGGCTTCTCGAGGCCCTGCCTACCCAAACAAAAGATAGGTTGCCAGGCAATGAAACAGTAATTGTATTCCATAGAATTGTGTTCTTTGCATTTACTGTGTCAACTTGACACTTGTGCGTAGTATCTTAAGCAGTGGGATGAAACTGGAGGACTCTCAAGAAACCCAGGGGGTAGAACAGGCGACCCTACTCCATGTCACTATGTATAAGCTTGGGATATTGAATCCACACCATTTGACTTAATGGCAGACCTTATGATCTAAAAAGAAAACAGTATGTCACACTACAATCAACCCTCCTATGAATTAAAAGAATATATCTTACTGATCCTTGTTCTTGTCCCATAGAAGCGTTGACAACACCTTTTAATATATATTCCTGTGGTGTTGTGGGTTCTAGGTCTCGTACCAGATTATACGCTTCATTTATATCATCTACAAACACAGATTAATAAAATATGATTTCATTTGAATTGTTGTTTATGGCTTGCAATGTCTTCGTGTAGTTTGAGCGTCTTGTCTGCAGTTTGAGTGTCTTGTCTGCAGGTTTATCTTATGGGTTCGGTTTAATTGTGGTGCAGTTCTCCTGCACAATAAGATTCCGTTTATTTCAGTTTATCCCACCACTTTCATTCAGTAATCAGGGATCAAACCGGCAAGTTATATGAAATGTCATCATGTCTAATTTCTTATTTTTTGGCAACAACAGGGATGACGAATATGGGCTTACACCAAGGAGTGTAATATGAAGAAATGTTGTCTGGACAGCGGTGGTACAGCCAACTCCTTTTTTTGTTTAGGGATTTTTAATGTATGGTACTAAATTGTACACAGGATTTGAGCGAATAGATGATTTTCCTTGTTTTGCTAAGGTCTATTCAAGCTGGAACATCCTGAGGATTCAGGCATAAATATGATTTTGATCAATGCTTAGATCAGAAATTAAACCCTTGCTATATTTGTGAGAAGATACTATAATATCCAATATATGAAAATAATGGATACCTACCTTGTTTAAGATAATATATAACAAGATTTAATCTTGCTTCTGGGATAACATCGATCAGGGGAGGTAACACCTGTAAAGCACCCTCGCCACCTCGAAACACAACCTGGAAATGCATGTACATGTATGTAAGTAAATAAACATGTAAAGGTCCCCACCACCAAAAAAAAAATAACAACCTAGAGATAGTCATTTTTAGAGCTCTGTTAAAGCTGGTATTGGCCACGGTTTACCCAAGTTCTCGCAGGTGTCATTACGGTTTGCCCAAGTTCACCAAGGTGCCAGTACCACTATGGTTATTACCATGGTACAACCCCGTACCACTGTGGTTATTACCATGGTACATACCGGTACTACTACAGTTTTTCAAGGTTTGACTATGTGTTTTCCCAGTTTACCACGCTATGACCTTCCCCTGTGGTATTATGGTCCATAGTGTCAACACGGTCCGTCACGCCCCAGTCACACCTTGCAGGTAATTGGACCCTGTGCCGATAGGGTGAACAACAGCGGGGATCCATTTGGAGACCGTTGTGAAACTGCGGTGGTCCAGGATGAACTGTGATCAATGGTAGGCTTACCGTTATGTCAACATCTGACAACATCTTTTTACTGAAAGCAGTCATTATGAGATGTAGTTAAATATGACTCTAAAATCAATAAAGGAACAGGGTGATATTACAATGATGTAGCTAAATGTAAGCTTTATTAACTGCTGGTTTCTTCAAAGTAAACATTATCAAAAGAATGTTCTTACCAAATTATGTTTAATCAGATCTCTAGCAAATATGAATGAAGGGGAAGCCATTTCTTGTAATGATTTCAATTCAGCCTGAAATGTAGTAAAATCCCTATATAAATAACAGTTTATTGCTATTTCTCATTTCTCACTGAATAAAATCTAATAAACGTCCATTTTTCTGTAATTGTTAATCTCTATCTTTTATAGTAGTAAAAAAGTTTTTATTTCTCATTGAATAAAATCAAATAAACGTCCATTACTATGTTAATAGCAAATCAGTAAACAGCATAGTAAAAAATATTAACAATAAACTTTATTTTCAATCACATATTTCAGAAAATACCATGAAATCATGACATAATAGTTTTTTCAGTTCAATAGCATCACAAATGTTCTTTGAATAAACAGTAAATTGTTAGAACGATATTACCTCTGCAGCTTTACCATTATATAATCGAAAATGGTTACATGCTTTTAGATTTAAAGCTACAGCACTATCGGAGAAGGTTTGAAGATAAACAGCTAACACCTCCTGTAAAATAACACAGATATCAATCAGAGTTAGTTTTAACTTATAATACACAGGACATTATTATATCTTAATTATTTAAATTGAATTACAGAGAATTTTTAATTCACAGAGAGAGAGAGAAATGGGGTTAAACATCCACTCGACACAAACTAGGTCATTTCGGGACTAACATATGGTTTAATTTTATTTCAATAATTCGTTTGCGCGTAGGGGTCTTTAGCAATGGGAGGAAACCGGAGGACCCGGAGAAAACCCACGAGATTGGACAGGCGCCCCTACGCCTTGTCACGTACAACCGGGGATTCGAAACCACGCCAGTCGACTCAATGAAAGACTTTATGATACAGCGCGTGCACGCTAACCACTCAGCCATCCAACCCCCCCTTTTAATTCACAGAATAATCTCCAACACTATATTTATTACAACTGTCTGAGTCATTTACTTTATAGATTGGAGATTTCGATTTACTCCAAAACTGAGCAATAACCAATTCTGAAACCTGTACCACTAAACTTGGTATTATATACGATTCCTTACATTCATACAGAATAAATTTATTAAGAAAATTATGTTGGTAACAAGAAATAACATTTTTATTTGTGGGGATATTTAATTGATAAATGATTTTAAGTAACCCTGTATACACAGAATTTAATGGTTAAAAATCTTCAAATTTTGTATTGCTCAGTTTTGGAGTAAAAGAAAAGCTTGGTATTGTGTGTGTTGCTTTAATGGTTGTTACAAGAGATAAGATTTTTATTTGTGGGAATATCTTAAAATCAATTTTAAGCAACCACATAACAAAATAGAAAATATTTAGTGGTTAAAATATCAAATTGCTTATTACTCAAGTTTTATAATAAAATGAAATATCTGATTTATAAGTAGATGATTCCAACAGTAATAATTAACTCACCTGAGAGACATCATAATAATCTAATTTATAATAACATAAAGCCACATAAACATTCAAAGCTAAATAATCCCTGAAAAAAAAAATAAGAAGAAGAAAATAAAACCTGTTCATCAATTATAAATGATTTAAGAAACTACATGGGGAGAAAAGTGCAATATCAGATTACATTTCGAAAATCTAACTCCTGAAAAAATTATTTGTTACATTATTAAAGTTATGCTTCTATATACATATCTAAGAGGGTACTAAAAATGGGTGCTTGGACTTATTGTGGCTTTTGAATATTGTAATATAACAATTATCAATTTTTTAAATTAGAGATGCATTATGTAGTATGTGATAAATTTGTCTAAGCTTATATTTTTAGCTTCAAATGTTATATAAATTATTAATTAGACATTCATTCATATGATAAGCCCATAAGCAAATCTCTAGACCATTGTATGGATGTGACATTGAATGGATTAGAACATCATAGGTTATCAAGACTTTGTTGGTTATCATTATAAGGGTACTTTATAATAAAGACTAGTTACACCATTCCTTTTCAAAATTTAAATATATTGACTTTGCATTACCTATTTTTAAACTATCATATTAAGAACGACCAGCTCTTTATCTAATCTGACATAAGGCATCTTTAAAAAGGAAACAATCCAAGAAAAAAAATTGTAAGTACCTGTTATCCAATAAGATACGTTTATAAATATCAATAGCTTCTTGATAATGGCTACGTAAATAGTGTATGGCTGCTAGAGATAACTGATCTTCTATGATATCCTGGAGATTCTGATGAAATCCCATTAACTGACGTTCTTCGTTAAATTTATGAGCTAAGTGGAACAACACACGGTTCTGCAGTCTACTTTTAGGACCTGAAGAACAAATAATGGAACTAATATAATGAACCACTGGTCTTTGAATCTGAACAAAAGTCATATTTAGTATTAACCTTTATCAGACTGAACAGTCTGTCAAAAATTATAGTTGTAGTAATAAGTCTTAGCATTCTCTTGGAAAGTTAATTTTCCTAATAAAACATGTCTCTTATTGACCTTCTATATATGCTGAAGTTCACAATATTGGTTTTGGTTTACATTTTAACAATTTTTGCTCCGTCTAGCTAGAACAACCATGCGGTTTTCAGCAGGCCTTGTCAAGTTGCGGTCATGAATGACTGATTTCAGTCACAAACAAACTGTCCGCAAGAAAAGAAGACAGAACAGCGGTCAGACCTGGACGGTGTTAGCACCATAGGTAAAACTACAAAATTCGACATCTCAAAAATTACATTTATTCATAACTTTAAGAGATGGTATATAACTCAAATAATGCACTTGTGAATTGTCATGCAGCGAGTACTTTCACTTTCTAGAACACTTGTAAAACATTTTCTCAGAATAGGTTTTCTGCATTGTCTCATACATGTTGTATCATTGTCTCATACATGTTGTATCATTGTCTCATACATGTATCATTGTCTCATACATGTATATCATTTAAAAGGAATATGTCCTGGCAAGGGTCAAAATTCACGACGGCACCTGCAGCAATTGCCGTAGTATTTAGTGAAATTGCCGTTCAAGTAAATTATGACTACGGCATCTTAAGCCGTGGTAATTTATTAAGGAATATCACGATGGCAATTTGCCGATGTTGACACTGAAATCGCCGTTGTATATCTGCATAATCTATGGCATAATCGAAAGTAGGAATTTATTGTTTTGTTTCTTTCCTGAGTTCTTGTGACTGCATTTTTCTATCGAGTTAGATCTCGAACCACACAGTTAAAATTAGATTGAACGGTGTGGAATTTATTGCGCTATTTACTGTGACGTCACATAAGCGGACGTATGTAACAAAGAGAGCAATAACACAAGTCATCACGCTGCATTCGTTCAGTAGTACCATCGTTGGAAGTCAAATAGCAGCCAATTTTATAACAATGAATTTCACAGGTCATCTACTCATGTTTTATCTGTTTGACACTTGTTTATAGCATTATAAAGTATTCATATCTACATAAATAAACCACGTATCCCCCAATTCATCTGACATAATTCTACCGTAACATCACATGCTGGTGGCTCAAATGGAAATGTGCGCGACTCGCTGTCTGGTGTATTTAATCATTTAAGAAGTTCAAAACAATTTCCAGAAATAATTTATTGGAAAATTTGACCAAATCAAATAATTAGGTCAGGAAAATGTGTCATATAATTTTTAGTGTAAATATAGACGGGATGGGAGAAAGGAATTCCAGGGGTACATGTAATATAATGTCATGCACAGGTGTGAAGTCGTCTTTTGATAATAAGTTTACGGTATTACGGATATTTTAGAATCGGAATTCAACATCTCAACGTCGAAGTATTCATTTAAAATGCAAGTTGGTTCCATGATACTTATATTTGGTGGAATTGTGGATACGGATTATAGAATTGCAAAAATCTTTGTGTTGCTGAGCCAAAGTTGATTCGATGTCTTGAAAGAATTTTTAGGCTCTCTGATTTCAAAGAAATAAAACGGATTCATATTACGATTATTCATAATCTTTATCAATCAAAGTTTCCCAGTTTAAAAAATGCCGTAGTGACGAAAGTAAATTAAAAGTTTTGCCTCAGTGTACATAAAAACTGCTGTAGTAAAGAAGGAATTACTGTGGCATTTTTTGAAAAAAGATAATTTAAATCAGGAGACAAACGTACCTTTATCTACAGCAGTTTTAGCTTCTGGATACATGCCCAAGAAAAAATAACAACAAGCTAAATAAGACCACATATCTGGTACACAATTCTTCTTTTGAGTCAGTCTCACATATTCCTAATATAGAGAATTATTCATTATTATATATTTACACAGGTAACTGAAGAATTATTCAATAGGTTCTATTCATCTGGTTCTATTGTGTGCCAAAAGTCAAACCCCTGTCTATAATAAGGTGAGAGAGAGAGAGAAATGGGGTTAAACGTCCACTCTACACAAACTATGTCATTTCGGGACTAACATATGGTTTAATTTTATTTCAATAATTCGCTTGCACGTAGGGTTTTTTTTAGCAGTGATAGGAAATCGGAGGACCCAGAGAAAACCCACAAGGTTGGACAGGCGACCCTACTCCTTGTCACGTACAACCAGGGATTCGAAACCTTATAATAAGGTGACCCTAAAGTTTTTTCAAGACTGTAATTAAAACACAATTATATGAAATACAACCTCTGATTTATTATACATGATGTTTCAACTAGTGATCTCTTACTGTTTTTTTGAGTTTGAAAACGATTAGAGATCACTTTTTGAAATGCTGTGCTATATAAAACAGTGATTGCATTCCTTAGCTTATGTTGTGATTTTATTGTGCTCAATCACCCATATACCACTTTAGGATTACAAACTGCAATGGATGGAATGTCTAATTATTTATGGAGACACAGATATAAGCTTACAGTTTACTGAATACATATTACAATTATTTTCTTGTTGAACATGATAATATCTCATCATTTCTAAGGTTATCTTTGAATGAATAGCTATATGTATCTACGCAGGAAAGGCTTAGTAGATAAAAAAAAAAATCTCCACCTCCATAGCTCTTTTATAATCCCCCAGATGAAAAGCACAATAAGCTATCCACATATCTGTTTCATCATTTCCTTTACCACTGGCTCTATTAAACTACAAATATATAATAGTAATAGACATTTACATAATATATACTTTCAATAAATATAAATGATATGAAATGAGATTTAACATCCAACTGTTCTGTAAAATGGCCAATAAAGATGGGATCAAATAGTTATAAGAGAAGCATATTATACACTCATTTTCTGAAATGCAAATCTGTGGTAAATACTGAAGTAAGCTGTCTAAAATATTAACAAATGACTCATGAGTGTTCAAATATTCTCAAGTGCCAATAAAATTGGCACACGTACACATAAGTGTTAGTCAATGGAAAGTGTAATAAATTGTAAACCTCATACAGCATGTGTGACTGGGAAAATATGCAACGGTAGAAATTTATATTCCTTGAATCAAAACATTAACAAGGCTGTCCAGGTGGTAAAATTTGGAAAAGAAAGCATGCATCTACAATCTACATCTTGCGTTACTTGCAAATTCATGTAAATTACCTCAAGAAGAGTTATAGCTCCTGTATAATCTCTTATATCCAGGAAGTCTTCATATTTAGGAAACTTTTTCTTTTTGCTGGTTTCTTTACTTGGTCCAGTTGCCGCGCCAGGCCCAACGGCCGGCTTCATTCTTGAGAGCATCTGAAATAAAATGTACAATAAATTATTTGGGTTGTATTTCATAATGCGTAGGCTACAATGTGCCTCTTTATAAAGTTCAAAATAAAGTGCTCAATTTGGTTGATCTGCAGTGTGTTATTTTTAGTATGGAATTGATAGATAGATTCTTTTTCCCCTCAGATTTTGACACAGAAAAACGAATAGAGTTTGCAGCTCTATAAACTAGTAATTTAGCTGTCAGTCTTAATACTATAGACTGTCTATTGTCATGGGCAGCAAAGAAACCTACACACCCTGTACATTATTTTTTAGACAAATGACCACTTAAAAATGTTGATTTTGGATTCTATATTTTGCATCTACTGAATCTCTATTAATTCATACATCCATGCAGATTCTGTGACCCTATGGTATTTACATTTAAAACAAAAAGTTTCTGCTTTTTTTGGATATACTTCTGTAGGCCTAATAAGTCAAAAATTGTCCAAGAGTCAAAATAGAATTCCTGTGATAAATAATAGAATTCCACAAAGTTAAAAGTTGGCTCATCTACAGGACTGGTGATATCAACTTGAAATTTATTAATAATTCAACATTGAAATTATATTAGTTATTCTTTTGTGAGCATTGCGAGTCATTTTCTAATAAAAGAGTTGTAATATGACATTTAATATTCACAAGAAGATGAAGATTATGAAATTTAACGTAAATGTAATTTTTGACTTGAACTTTACGTTTATCATTACCGTACTTTAATATATATATAAAGGTTTCCTTATTTCACATATAAAAACTGTAAAAATAATCATCTTTTCAAACAAAAATAATTACCATCTTGCACGTTATTCAATGTTCCTTTTATTTTATTTTTGTTTATTTCATTCTGTCATGCCTTCAACTACCGATAGTTTATTTGCAACTAAGGAATTTATCCGCCAATACGCAGACTCTAAATATAGCTTCCGTTTCCGCATTGTTTACAATCACACGAATAGCCCACTTTCTGGCTTATGAACAAATAATATGAGTTACTCGTGTCAAACAGAGTTTCTCCACATGTACAAAACGAGACCATAAAATGGACTGACTTGATTTGTTTCTAATGTCATATTTTAAGCAAATCTAGTGAAATGTAGATTTCAATAGGTGCTTTTACATTTTAATCTTCTAACATAAAAACTTCGCACTTTCTTGTATAATCCCGATCCATCAGTTTATAAACATACCTATCAGTATGAGAACAGTATGGCCTGGATTTATAGGTCTAGCGCCTTGGAGGGTTTCGCAAAGATCTGATGCGTACCAAAGTCGAACTCATCCAAGAACTTTTGATCCTTGACAGTTGACACATAGTTTTTAAATTATCGCCCCATGAAGGTCCACAAACTTTATTCATATTGGACATTTTGCGTAAAAGGGCTGATGCGCACCAAAATTGAATTCATCTAAAAACTAGTGACACTAGTTTTGAGTTTCATCCAAATCGGATAAAAATTGTTGCCTCTAGATGGTCCACTATGGAAGGATATCGCTGCCAATATTAAAAGCTCTGATAACATGTCTTTTCTATTGATTATGTGTCAAAAGTACATTTACAATGTAGCAAGACCTAATACCGGTAATGATAATGTCAAATACCTCTAAGGGTAAAGTTAAACATAAAAGGTCAAATGCAGTGTGTCAAATATCAAATGTTTATTGGAAAATAAATGTTTTTTTGCCGTGTCTGCATTTTACATTTCCCTCATTACATTTTACATTTTCGCTCTGTCGCATCTCATTTGTCCTTCACACTTTCAACATAGCATCTTACACAGAGCACTAACTTTGATATGCAAATGTGGGATATTACGTGACTTATTAACATATACGGAAACGAGGTGGAGATCGACCTGGCACACTATAAGCCAGTTCACTATAAGTTATTTACCACACGATATTGAGACAATCAGCATGGCAAATTATAAGAAATTTGCTGGACGACCATGCTTGCAATGAAATCATGTGATTGGTATGGCTAATCCAAACCTTCGACAAACAAGATAAATTGAAATTATGGTCTATATTTAGTAATTAGGTTACTGTTGGACAGCGACACATTTCTTTCGACAATACAACGAGGATTTTTCTTTCTCTGAAGTTCGTAATTATGAATGTGCCAGGAAATAACTGATAATTTCGTATTAAGACACTTATATTGAGATATTAAACCCCCAATACCACCTCCACACCCTCCCTCTAAATTTTAGTACAGGCTAATTAACTTTAATCCATTTAAACAAAAAGTATATGTGCATTATGTCCACCAATAATGATATACTTAAAGAGAGGAATGCGTATACATGAACGTGCTTTTCAATGATATGTACCTTGTTATCTGGAATTTCGTATTATGACCCGTATTTTGACATTGCATACCATGGTATTACCATATTCCTGAAGCAGTGGTCCGAGAAATCCCTCCCTGGCCATTGCTGGGTTGGCTTCTGATACTTGAGCTTTTGAGGGAGTGTTTCTATTCTTCCTGTTCAATCAAATCTATCCCAAGTGCAGCAACATGACCGCCCTTCGTTTAATCTGGGCTCTTCCATAAACCTTTGGACAGTGATTTAAGGTATTAAAAGTGGTGATAGTATTGTTCGTCTCCAAAACAGTATTGTTTACATTGTATCTGTGTTGATAGCCTCGTTTGTCACGCAATTAGTTTTTATGCACTATTTTGCTATGCACTGGTTAATTGGACATATAATAAAATCGCGAGTCACGACGTAACGTTATGTAAACATATTTGGTCCATTTGGAGCTATGTTTAAAGCGTAATGATATTGTTACGCAGTTAGCTATTGGTTGTCAATCGGACAATTGACCAGTCATAATTTGGGACAGAAATTTGCTTCCTTTACAGCAGTGTTAAGTGGGATTAGCTCTTATCAAACGAAACACTGCGAGGAGTATGTGGTATTACATGCTTTTACACTAATGTATTTGCGCAAAAAGGAGGTGTCATTTTGACGTGCAGTTTCGGTCCGATTTTCACGAAATTTAAACTAAGCCGTAATTATGATGCAAAGGTGATATTTGAACGGTTTTTACAATAGAATGAAAATTGTGACCCCTAGAGAGTTCAGACGCTCAAGATATGATTTTTCGTATAAGGGCCATAATCCAGGAATATCGACAGGAACCGAGATGGGTTATAAACATGCATCGTAAGTTTCATCAAAATCGGATAAAAAAAATTGTGACCTCTACTGGTCCACAGCCTTGGTAATGCATATAATTGGTCAGTTCAGCATCACAGGAAACCATCATCGACTGCGTGTTCGTGGTAAGGGATTTAGAAAAAAAAATAAAACTTCCCTTCTGAGGTAGTTCATCAGCCAGAAATCGATCAGAAAGCATCTCCGACGATCTAGACCCCAGGGGCCTCAGGGTCCTAGGTGACCCCAAAAGCCATGCCTAAAGTCCTAGGAAGGTGCCCCCCCCCCCAAAAAAAAGCAAAAAAACCCCGCCAATCATGATTTGCGGCCTTGTATATCGTTAAGGTCTCACGACGACGTCATTACAGAATCAAGAGTGCATGAAATATTTTTTGGGGGGTTGTATTCAAATTTTTATCAAATTAAAATCTTGGTGTGCATTAGCACATGTATTATTGTCCATATACGTAAAATAAACTGAATTACAAAACAGTGAAATTGGCTAAATAACAATTGCTTGTCGAAATAAGATCATTTGCTCGAGTTCCTTTAAGAAAAATACTATCACCTTTCGTCACCATCTACTAGAACTGATAGATTTTTTTCCTTAACACTGATAAGCCAAATTAACTTTTTATCAGTTTATCAAATCAGAATGATAGATTGAAATTATATAATTCATTGGCCCCACTCCACTCCCCCGGGTCTGATTGCTAAAATCCCGACAACTCACAAATAAAATCGTAATCAACGGGCACCATCAAAATCTAATTGATTCACTGAGCCAGAAAAAAATGTTTTAAAAAATCAATACAAAATCTTATTTTCAACGAGTGTCATTTCCTGAAAGAAATTAGCCCAGGAGAAAAGTTTGGTTGTTTGCCTCCGATATAGGAAATAGAACTATTTAATTTGTTTGCCGTTAGACGTCGCCAATGTAATTTGTTTCATTGGGACAGACGTGAATATTACCCCAATTATGTTCTAATTATCTGGAATAATCCATTATATAATATACACACATTTTATCACCATACTGTGATAAATTGCTCTTAGACTTGATTAAAGGTTGTGATATATTTAAAAAAAACTAAAACTAGAATTGGCTCTGTTAGATGTCGCAAATGTAATTTGTTTCAATGGTAAGGACTTATATATTACCCTAATAATAGTCTCAATTTCTGGAATACTCCATTATTGTGTATAGATTAAAGATGCATTATGCAAGAGTTAAATCTGTCTATTGATGGTCTTTCTTTTGGCCAAAAACGTTATATATCAATTATTAACTAGACATTCATTTACATGACAAGCCCATAACCAACTATATTGTGAACACCCCAAAGCCCGATAATTCGCTCAGTAATTTGATTAAAATTTTCATTATATATATTATCTATTTTCGAACTATTAAAGCAAGCGACCAGCTCTCTATTTAAATCTTACATAATGTATCTTTAATATATAAACATATTTTATCGTTACTCTGTGATAAATTACTTTCAGATTTCATTAAATGAATTATAAAAAGAGGATTAGGTCCATTACAGTCTTTGATTAGTTTATTTACAAACATATAACACATTATGCGTTCTTTTAATAAGACAGGGAGAAGAAAAATGACCCGTTGATGTATATTCAATTTGTGGAAATTGCGCAAACACAAAATATATATGTTAGAATTTGGTAAAATTTCTTATTAATATAGACAGTTCACATAGCTTACATATTTTTTGCTGAGGGAGATGATGGCCGAATGGTTTAACGCGTGCGCTTTAGATTATAATATCTGTCATTGAGTCAAGTGGCGTGGTTGGTTTCGATTTCCCGCTTGTAGTGACAAGGAGGAGGGTCGCCTGTCCATCTTAGTGTGTTTTTTCTCCGGGTCCCTTGGTTTCCTCCCAATTCTACAGACCCCATATGTTTTTCAGAAATATCTCTCTCGCTCTCTCTCTCTCTCGACATTTTTCATTACCAGACTCTCCGTCCTACATCAGTGGACGCAAGGCTAGACAATCCCAAGACATTTTCTTGGACAACTCCTGGACATCTTGGTTACTGAGCCAGCGCCATACTTGTTGAACCACGCCTTCACGCATGTACACTTAAAGGACGTATGGCTCTAATTTTTTTTTTGGAACCTTGAAATAGACGAAAATGGTTCTAAAAGCACATATTAAAGTAATATGAATGTATGTAAATTGATTTATTTTTTAATTTTTGAAAAAAATATTGTAATTTCTAATCAATTTTATTCGGTGAAATACGTGAACAGCTCAAATTGAACGACAGTCGTTTACGCCTGCTATAGTTTCTCGGCAAGATAACAACATCAATATAATTAAAATTGATCAATACTGAATTCAAATTCGTGCTCGTTTAATTACTATACGTTGACTTTACAAATGTCCCCAAAATACCCCCCCCCCCCACAAAAAAAAAATAAATAAATAAATAAACAAAAAAAAAAAATAAACAAAAGCCTTGAACGACGTTCTCAAAATGGCATAGACAGTAGTATCATATCTTGTTCTCTAATCTGACTGTACCAACTCATTATCAAAGAATAAAGGAAATGTGTTCTTATGAAGATGTCCAGGGATTTGCGTAAAGGAACACATTTTTAAGAGAAGTTTTAGCCCCACGAGTAAACAATTCCATTGAATGATAGGCGAGTTATTATTATCAGACACAAGAGAAAACTGCAGTGTGATAATTGAAAAGATATTGAGAGTGATAGGATTAGACGAGAT